AAGCGAGTTTTGACCTAGTTTAGTAAATTTTTGTATGGCTTCATTTTTTGCCGATCGTCGAAACATTTTTTTGGAAACGACCTTCTTTCTGGAAGTTCAAAAATTGTTGGCTACGATTTATCAAAGTAACTAATACTAGTATTGTGTTTTGAAATAGTTGGGTAAAGTTTATCGTGGCAATTTTTAAGTTTAGCGACTTTTCAAAATGGCGGCAATTTGTTTATTTTCGTGTTGATCGTGACGATATTTTTTAAATACAAGTATTGATTCGCTCCTATTTCTTATCTTTTAGGAATGCTGTGACACATATGTGAAAAATTCAACTTAAAAACATCCAGAAATAGTTCTTTGGTATGGAATTCTATGCCATGTATAACTATTACGGAGATGCACAAGAAGGCCATGTCATTTAATAGAAGTGGGAAGCAAAGAAAAATCACGGCGTTCTCAAAAGCTGCGGAAATCAAGTTTTGCATCTACTGAACTTATTACTGAACATATGTGCAATGCATTGTGGGAGAAAAGTTTGAAACTACTGAGAAAGTTTCTGATCACACAATTTATCATGGAAGAGTATTTCTCCATAAATATTGTCTAATTAGAAACTCGCAAACATTGTCTTAGGATTCAAATACGTCTCCATCTTAAAGAGGCTTAGCTGCTCTCTTACTGTTTCTCACTGGTGATTTTGTGTTGTTTCACATAGTAGTGTGCATCATACATCATAATGTTCCCCAACACATGACTGATAAAATTGCAACTACTCTACCCTCAGTTTTTCCATCTCACTTCATGTAACATTTTCTTTTTTAGTTTCACTTTGTCCATGCAATTGTGTCTAAAACAATATTTTAGTAAGATTTGTTCAAAATCACTACTATTGTTGCTTTAATATCATTTGTTTCTATCCTAGGTTCCTTCTTTGAATGACTCAGAGCTTCATGACTTAAAACCTAATACAATAGTGAAATACAGGTGTATGGTACAAGACATGTTTGACCCAGAATTTTATCTTGGTGTCTATGAAGTTTCAGATAAAAAGGCAGAGCAAACTGTAAGTAACTTGAAAGCTTTATGTGCTCCACTTGGTAACAGATTGGAGACTTCAAGTGGTTAATAATGAAATCTTGAAATTCATTCCTCATACAAATCAAAACTTTCGCTTTTAAAATTCACGATACCATATTTGCCATACTTGTTCGCACTTACGTAAACAACAAAAAAGTACTGGTAAACTGTGATCTTCCGCAGGCTCTACAAAGCAACTATGTTTTAATCATGTGGTACTTCTTCATCTTACACTTGAACGATGATCATTTTCCAAAAGTCACGCACTCAATTAACAACAGGAAAAGACTATTTAATCATGTGGTACTTCTTCATCTTACACTTGAACGATGATCATTTTCCAAAAGTCACGCACTCAATTAACAACAGGAAAAGACTATTGTCATTTAATATCCCATTGACTCCAGCTATTTCTTGATGCTATTATTTTTCTTGCAGTATTTGAGAACTGGACGGTACCGTGACATTGCAGAGTGTTTACCTCATCAACATATAGAATTAGAATCTACAAGAAATGTAACCTTAGATAGACAGACATTGTACTGTGTTCCCATTCCGGCAGAGACTGCATGGGTTAAACAAATATCCTTTTATTATGACATGCATGTATATCTTTTACACGTTTAATGAAGAGAAATATATTCATTAACATTTCATTGGTTTAAACTGTTGAAACACACAGGTCGCTTCAATGCTGAAATATGCAACTAATACATAATAATTATTTGAATTGAAAATGTAAAAATTAAGTTCTTGCGTTAAAAATGCAAACTATCACTATTTTCTCTCTTTGCTGAGAGATTGTATAATATATTGTTGAAGAAATTTAAATGAACAACAAAGCTTAGAAATTATATATGTCGTAATCAACTGAATTGTGTTTACTTGGTGCAAAATTTCTTAACATTGCTTTAAGCTTTTTCTCGCACAAGCCAAGCCAAAGTGACTCCATCCACATCTTACAACATATCAAGACCGAAGCGATCCTTGGACTCGGAAGTTGGTGTCTCAGGAAACACTACCAATCTACTAAACAGTGGCAACTCAATAGCAAATGAGGAGGTTGCTACCATGGAAACAGAAGGTGAAAGTTCAGAGAATAAGAGATCACGTACTTATGAAGAATCTGGCACCACTACAGCTAGTACTCCAAACTTGAACTTTCCTCTCCCAAATGAAGAGGGACCAGCGTGTCTTGTGAAAGTAAGTTCTTTTTTAGCTCCTCTGTCATTGTAGATGACAGAGCAGAGCTGGTTCATATAGGTGATTATCTGTCCGTCATCAGACCTTTGTCAGATTTGTTCATTTAATGACAATATTATCTATTTTTGGTAAAAAAATGCTATTTTTCACTGCTTTGATTTGTTATATTTAAGTACTTTGGGCGCACCTCTATTAGATCTGTTCATTTCATGCAGATGTCATTGATTCTCTATTTTAGACAAAGTCCGGGAGGGGGCTTTTTATTTCGTCTTCGTCAGTCTATCAGTCCGTCGAGAGTGATTTCTTGGAGATAGCTGGACCGATTTTTTTGAAACTTGGTACAAAGACATAATAGTGCACGTCAATTTATTTTCAGATTCGATCAATTATGGCCGACTTGCGGCCATTTTTAATGCCAACATTTCAGTCAAATTTGGTCTTTGTGTGTCCTTGTAAGATGGCTTGATCAATTTTGTTGAGACTTGTTACAAAGACAAAGACAAAGACAAAGGGACCACCCATACAGATGCACGTTGTTTTACTTTTTTGAAATGATCAAATATGGCCGACTGGCAGCCATTTTGATTGTTAATCATGGCTTTTGTCTGTCCATTGATATTTCAATGATACTAGGTACAAAGACACAGTGAGGACGTATACATCATATTCACTTGGATTTATTTCCTGATTTGATCAAATATGGCTGCCTGGTGGCCATTTTGAATGTCAAAATCCTGTAAAATCCAGTTTTTTTCCATCATCATTTCTCGGAATTTTTGTTGATATTTTGTGAACTAATAGTCCAAATGTGACCAAAGTTGGTATAGATTTGATCTGTCAATATATGATATCTGCTATGCAATATTGAGTTTCAACTTGATTAACAAGCTCATTTGCATATTTCATTGATTTTGAATTTTTCTTAATATCTTGTGAACTAATTGTCTGAATGAGACCAAACTCGGTATTGACTTACTTGATCTGTCAATATAAGATGTGTGCTATGCAATATTGACTTAATTAATGAGCTAATTTGAATATTTAATTAATTTTGAATTTTTGTTAGTATCTTGTGAACTATAATAGTTAATGTATTTGCTATTTAATATTGACTCAACTGAATTTCTATTGATTATGAATTTGTGTTACAATTGATGCAAATTCTACCAAATTTAATAGAGATGTCCTAGCTGTTAACTTTGAGTAACATACTTTTGCTTTTCAACTTGATCTTCCTACCCGATCTTATAATTCATAGCCAACTATAATCACATCTGACAAGTGGGGGCTGTGTCATCTTCAGATGACTTGTTGGTAAAAATATTTTTTGAGTTCCACTTGAACACTACCAACCTGATTGCTTTGATGTTTGTGCATGATTTTAGTGAACAATTTGCTTGTTAAGTTGACATGTTCTCAACAGCCAGAACCAAAGTACTTTTTTGTGGGTTAGGTAACCATGTTTTGTCTAATGGGTGTACGTTGCTTGACTAAGCTATCACAATGTTCTTGTAGGACAGCAGAGCTATTTTGACTGCCAGATTGCCTGTTGAAATAATTTCATTACTGCTGAAGTTTTTACTGCTCACTGATGTACTTATCAAAATTATTCTTTTTTTGACAGATATATGATGGTTTTGATAATTTTCGTGTGAATGATGTGGTAGAATTTATCGGTGTTTTATCAATTGATCCAGCCTTAGCTACAGATACTCATCAACCTTCTTCGTAAGTATCCAAGAAATTGTCACCATAATTGCTCTATCTAGTGCATGCTCTTACATAATGGGCATATTTGTGGTTAAAATAAGTTGTTTTTTAAATATCAAGTATGTAACAAATTGTTCAGATTACATACTTTTATTGGAGATGTGCTTCTAATAGAGCAAACACAGTGGCGTCTTCTTTGTCCCCATTTAGATGTATTCTGAAAATGTGGGCTCTTATTTGGGTCCTGTCTGCCCGAAGCAATTTCTTGGACATGCTTTGGCTCATTGTTTTCAATGACAATACCTAATAGCATATATATGCATGAGAAGTTAATGTCCTGAGAAAAATAACTGACTGGCAGGCAGGCAGGCAGTTTGGACACCAAATCTTCAGATGAAGTCTGAAACAGAGACTAGTTTAGTTACTTTCTGTCAGTTCTGTGTAGTATCTCTGACACCCCTGGACCAATTGTCTTCAAACCTTGCACGTACTTAATATCTTGTCTGATACATACATATGCACATACTGTGATTTTGTGATTCGGACAAAGATAGCCTACTGGCTACCATTTTGTTGTAAAAGTACACTAAAATCAAGTATTTTAACATGTCAGGAACCAAATCTATTATGTGTTGGCCGATTTACTTCCAACTTCCGAGGATTAGCCATTTTGGGTCGTTTATATACATTATTTTGAATTGTAAATTCAACTCAATATGGCTGACAGGTGGCCATTCTATTTTTGATAAATACTATTTCAGACATATCTTGAACATCTTTTGGGCAATTCACTTCAAACTTCATACATCTTGGCATAAGTTTACACATACAATAATTTTTATCATACAACAAAAGATAGGTGATTGCTGACCATTTTTGTTGTTAAAAAACACCCATATCACGAATATTGGATATGTGTTGTCAGATTTTCTTGAAACTTGGTGTAAGGATTAACCATTATAGTCAATGCACATCACTCCAATTTGTAAATTTGTCTCAAGATGTTCGACTGGCGACCATTTTTTTTCTCGACAAATGAAGCTCAAGGCACTGTGAAATGACTAATTTTCACTGGGTTTAAATGTCACTGATTTATCACTTCAGGCATATTCAGTGGGTTTTAAATTCATGGTTTTATCATTTAGATAATGTGTTCTATGCTAAATTGTACATATTCACTGGGTTTTAATTTAATGCATTTTCCAGTCAGCGAAATAAGCAAAATTAAAACACTAGTGAATAAATAATCCTTGTACAGTACTCGGCTTAGCTTGTCCCGGTAAATAATGCGAATGACAATTTTAGTTCATCATGTGCCACATATTATGAATATATTATTGTCTTTGAAAACTACAAAACTTGGCTGTATTCCATGATGTCTATCCCAATAACTTCCATGTTGTTTTAGGGCGCCCAGCTTTGCTTCAGCCTTCTTCCATTTATTTACCTTTTTCCAGTTATCTTCCATTCTTCCATTTCCACCTCCTGCATTTGACTTGAGTATGTCACCAATGCAATTTTAATTCAAAGAGGCATGTCAGAGGAAAGCTGACTGAATGCAATATCCATAGTCATTTCAGTAGATGTAGTTTGAAGTGATTTAGCCAAGGTAATAGACTTAAAAATATCCAAATCCCATCTCTGAAGTATTTTTATCTTATTGGCCCTCACACTCATGAATTTATTAGCTCCGCTGTCGACTTTGTCGAGCGGAGCTTATCATATGAGTGATTGTCCGTCGTCGTCCGTGTCAATGTTTTACTTTTTCGACTTCTTCTTGAAAACTACAAGCCTGAATGCTTTGATACTTGGTGTATATGTACCTTGGGTAGACCTCTCTTAGGTTTGTTCATATTATGTTGATATCTTCAATTCTCTAATTTTGGTGAATATTTTTGTCATTTTTGGTAAAAAGTGATATTTTCGACTTCTTGTTAAAAACCGCTAGTCCGATTGCTTTGATATTACATATATAGGTACTACATGTGGACCTCTTTCAGATTTGTTCATTTTGTGATGATATTTTCAATTCTCTAATTTTGGTAAATATTTTTGTAATTTTTGGTAAAAAGTGATATTTTCGACTTCTTGTTAAAAACCAATAGTTCAATTGCTTTGATATTACATATATAGATACTACATGTGGACTTTTCTCAGATTTGTTCATTTTGTGATGATATCTTCAGTTCTCTAATTTTGGTGAATATTTATTTATTTTGGTGAATATTTTTGTAATTTTTGGTAAAAAGTGATATTTTCGACTTCTTGTTGACAACTGTAAGTCCGATTGCTTTGATATTACATATATAGGTACTACATGTGGACCTCTCTCAGATTTGTTTGTTTTGTGATGATATCTTCAATTCTCTATTTATTTTGGTGAATATTTTTGTAATTTTTGGTAAAAAGTGATATTTTCGACTTCTTGTTAAAAATTGCAAGTCTGATTGCTTTGATACTATTCATATTGTTCATTTTCTAATGTCTTCAGTTCTTTAATTGAAATGTGCATTGCTAACAGCGGAGCTATCTCAGCCGATAGGCTGCTTGTTAATTGTGAATCGGATCCAACTAAAATGAGTTTAGGTTTAATTACCACTTTCAGCATTATCGTACACAATTATTAAACAGGATTATAATAATTTTTTTCAGGGATATTACCTCATCATTTGTTGATCCAAGTGAAGCCATGGAAGGTGTTGAAGAACGTCATGCACATTCACCCCCGCCATCACTAGTACCAAGATTACATGCTATAATAGTCAATAAGTTACAACATAATAATCCTTTATTACCTCAAAATATTCAAACTGAAGAGGCACACACTGGTAAGTAGTCACAGATAAGTAGTATGAATGGTTTGACGGCTTTCGTTATGTTATTTATAATGCCCTAGTAAGAGTGATTTAAAATTACCAGCATGCCAAAAAAACACACAACCAGTATTCGGCCTAGTGCCAGTATTCTCCATGACTTGTTCAGTGATGCTGCCAGGTGGCGTATGCTTTAAAAGAATTGATGATATTTAAAGGAAAAATCGAGGCTAAAAACCTCGTGCTCTCAGATGAAAAAGCATGGGAAATGCAAGAAAAGTCACACTTTACCCACAATCCTTTGCTGGAGAATCATTATGGCGGACTCTGTAATACTGATGAAAAGTTGAATATCTAGAGTGAAAAGTGATATAAAAAAGCTGTAAATTGCATTCTCATACATTTGTGGAACTTTTTAATCTGGGAGTATTATGTTGTTTGCCTTGACTTCTTCTTTAACTTGCCTTTCTAGAAAACAGAAAATTTGCTTAAGAGGGGGAACACTACCAATTTCAAGAATTGATCTTTCAAAATTGACAATGTTTATAATAAAAATATAGTTAGTGTATACCATTTGCATTCATTTGACAATTCAGTTCAAGATGGCCAGATGGTGGCCATTTTAGTCTTGCGAATTCATCAAAATCAAGCATCTGTCATTCCGGAACCAGATTTCCAGTCTTGAATGGATGTTTCATTCAAACTTGGTACAAACAATATTGGACCCAAAGAAAATATGGCTGATTGGTGGCCATTTTGTTTTAGTGAATGTAGTTTTGGAGTCATATCTCTGAAATTCTGACTATTTATGCTCAAATTTCTTCAACTTGAATACTCACAGGGACTATGTAATTTTTCTATTTCATATTTTCTAGTTATACAGAATACATTATCAGAGGCTGTTTCCATTAGACAAGATTTGATTACAATGTTTCAACAAGTACTGTATGGTGATAGTTTAGCAGCTGAATATCTGCTTCTTCATCTTGTATCATCAGTGTAAGTATGATATTTAATATTCAAAAATTTCATTTATTTCATTTGTACATCTCATTTGTTAAATGTTCTTTGGATGTCCATTGTGAGGCAAAACCACTGGAAGTTGGGAAAATTATATAGCAAGAGCAAATGTACTGTAAAAGGATTGCATGTGGAACATAATGCATGTGGAGAAATGCATTTTTTGAAAATAGCAAAATGGTAAACATTAATGAAGTGATCACGAAAAACAAACTACTTGTATCCCTTGCATGCACTTTAAATGGAACCAACTAGGTTCCTGACCAGTGAGGTGGAGTACAGCATGAGCTTTGGCTTCTCTTCACTACAGCATTGCTTCAGTTTAGCATAAACACAAGTCAGTTTGTATATCATTGTGATAAACTTCTTATTTGGGTAGTGTGAAGACCCTAGTATAATACCATTTCAGTCAATAACCAACCAATGATCAGACATGTACATGTAGTTCACAATATAATAACTCTTTATTAATACCGAGTTAATGGAAGCATCGTCTCGCAAGTCAATCATAGCATTAGACAACCTAAATACAAGATTACTAGCCCTGAAATAGGCCGTGACTCGTATATCATAAGGAGGTTGGTTTTCATCTTGGAGAGCCAATGAAACATTTCTAAATGGTATATTCTAACTGTCCTCTACCATACATGGCTATGTGACTCCAAGTAAACCCTGGTTAATCAACTTGACTCTTAATGAGAGATTTATGAGTTCCTGTAGGAAGTCCAAGTATTCTAAACAAAATAGAAGCCCATATGTTTCCTGGTCTGTATCCTCTGGGAGGGTCAAGTTCCTCTCATTAAACTGTGTGTGACCAACATCCACACATGGACTTGCACTTAACACTATTCAGCTCTGAAAAATATGACAATCATAAAAAACACCAAATATTCATGTACAGTGACCTTGAGTTGACTGGAATGGGATGTATCATTTTCAGAAAAATTCTGACTTGACATGCATTTTTACCTAGAGTGGAATGGAATATTTGATGTTGAATGACATGAATATAAAAGAAAAAAATAGTTTCCTGTTGTGACTGTTGACTATACACTGTATACTCAGCGGAGAACATTGATTGAGTGAATTAATACAACGTATTTCCACATCTCATGATCTGAATTAAATCTAACGTTACATGCCTATTTGTTATTTCTCTCACGTATGACAGTGTATAGTTTAGTTACCAAGTGAAATATCCAAATGCCGCCAACTGCAACGTAGCTTCAAGTTGTTCGGTAACAATTTTAACCGTCCTGGTGTTTTTGAAATTTTGCATTGTCAATCTCGCCCTTTCAATCACTGATATTGTAACAAAACTTACGAAACAGTCAGACATGTCATGACACATCAGTTTTCTTTTCAATTATAATTTATTCGATCAAGTTGTTTCAAATAAGGTAAACAATGATAATTTCGTACTGTCCAGTGATGAAGTCCAACCGTAAAAAATTGACCGCCCAGCACAAAATTATATTAAATGCTGACCATGTATTTTTCTTAGAATAAATTACTTTCACATATACTTGTATGTAAACCCTGTTCCACAACTGTGATGTGATATGCATATTACAGCTCAAACCTTATTCCAAATACTAAACACTGTTTGCAGATATGCAAGAAGAGATGTACTAGCATTGGGAAAGTTTTCGATGAATTTAACTGGGTGTCCTGTAGGAACGTGTTTCACTGAAGAGTTGTACCAACTTGTCGAAGAATTATTCACGAAGGTAAGAAAACTCTTTGCATACCATAGTTGCTTAAAAAGTAAATTTGTTTGATAAAATTCTTGTTTTGAGATGCATTGCTTTACTTCATGTGTGTTTGTCATTGGTTTTAGGTTCATTACTTACCGATGACACTGACTAACATGAACACATTGAAGTTTATTCCAAAGAAGGATTATTCAGCCAATCGGTTATTAAGTGGAATGTTACAATTAAGTGAAAGAACACATCTTATAGTTGATGAGACTGCGCTGCAACCTGGACAGCTAGATTCAAATGGTAAGAATTTGGACTTTTATAAAATATTTTATGAAAACAAAGATGAATAATGAATAATGAGTGAATCATAATGCAATGTCATATAAGCCATAAAGTAAAACATAACCATTTGATTAAGACAAAATCTATTTTAATTTGAGGTAATAAAACAATTTGTATAAATAAAAAAATTGGGGTGTAAATTATTTGTAAAATTACTGTACAACAGTTAAGTAATTTGTCCTATAACACACAGAACTTGTTCTCATGAGAAAACATGAGTGTTCAGTTTGAACTCGTCACATTCAGGGAAACTGTATTGAGCAACCATAAACTGGATGTTATTTTCCATTTAACTGACTATATTCAAAGAATAATTATATACCGGTAAATGTATTCATACCATTTTTTGCATAAACCACATTTTACAATGATATGCCATTAAAAACATCTCTTCATTCTATATACAGGTGTACACAATGTGACTGCACTGGGCAATGTCTTGTCATGGCAGAAAATAGATTATGATTTTAATTTCCACAGAGCAGAGTTTCCAACTAACCTTGTTGTCTTAGTACTGTCAGAAGGGAAGTCACTTCTACCTGTAAGTTGTATTGTGATTAAAACTATTAGTTATCGTTTAATTATTGACAGGCACTGTAATCAAAATAAGTGCTGTTTCCTGCTTTTAGGGTAATTATTGTCAAATGAATTTCATTTAAGTTCATGAATATAGTTTTAAAATAATTTCTTTAGATAAGATAAGCAAAGACCATTAAAGGGGAAGTCAAGCCAAACAACATAATGCTCCATAAAGAAAGACCGCCACAAATGCAGAAGAATGCTATTTACATTTTTTTATATCACTTTTCATTCTCTAGATATCTAGATCAACTTTTCATCAGTATAATTATGATTCTTCAGCAAAGGATTGTGGGTATAGTGACATCATATCCACTATTTATCTACCGGTATAACATGAGAAATACAGATGCAAATTTTTTCAAAATTTCAGTGTGCATATTACTCATGTATATAATTATGGTAATGGGAATTAGAATGTCACAAATACACAATGTGAAAATATTCCCAAAAACGTAAAAACAATAAAAATCATTATTTCAATCGTTTTGTGGTTAACAGGTTATATATCACCCATATAACCTACTCACATTGATAAATTGTATACAATGTAAGAACATTTGAGCATTTGGTAGATAAACACAAAAATTATATTTACAGTTCTGTTGTCATGACAACTATTTTATATGCATGTTTGGCACCGGAACATGCATGCTACCAATCTCTAAACTTTCAGCCAATTTGAAGTTCAACTTTTGAAGTTGTAGATGAAATCATTTTCTCAATTTCTGACAACAGTGGCGATGATGTCATACTTTACCCATAGTCCTTTGCTGAAGAATCAAGATGGTGGACTACATAAATTAATGAAAAGTTAAATACTGTAAAAGGATTAATTATTCAATGGGTTTTAATTTTGCTTATTTCGCTGACTGGAAAATGCGCTAAATTAAAACCCAGTGAATATGTAAAATTTAGCATAGAACATATTATCTAAATGATAAAACCTTGAATTTAAAATCCATTGAATATGCCTGAAATGGTAAATCAGCAAAATTTAAACCCAATGAAAATTAGTCATTTTACAGTATCTAGAGAATGAAGTGATATGAAAAAGCTGTAACTTGCATGTTCTTACATTTGCCAAGCATTTTCATCTGGAAGTATTATGTTGTTAGACTTGACTTTCCCTTTAAAAGTCAATGCAAAAAAAAGTGCAAAGCAAAATAAAATGTTACAGTGGTCCATCACACCACTGATTCATACTAAAAAACTGAAACTGAACAAGGACCGTCATGGTACTTCAGGAGCAACACAACAGCCCTTGCCGAGAATGCTTGATAGTATTTGTAGACAGACATGTCAATAATATCCTGATGGGAGATTCAAGTTCAACAGGACAATCATTGCAAAATAACATTTTTATAGATCAAAAATCCAAGGATGAATTTCTTGAATAGTTAAAGCGCTAGTTATTTTGTTGGCTTGATTTGCCTTATACTGGATTCTGCCGTAAATTCGTCCATCTGAAAAATCGCCCTTCGCAATTTCACAGCTGGTGGGCCCTTATTTGGGGTTCAAAATTTACAAAAAAATCATGAAATATTTTCTGTTGACTTCTATTTTTATTGAAAATTCAACTACGTCGACTTTCAATGCCGACAGTTGGGCCACCCAAGAAGGAAGAAACTTTTGCAGAAGCTACTAGTAATCTAAAATTTTATACATTTTTTTTCTTGATGAATTAAAAAGTAAGGCCGCCTAAAATTTCATTACAATTTCACCCAGCGTCTTTTTTTTATTTAATTGGTAATGAGTATATTCTAAACAAAGTTTCAAATAAAAACTAGCATAACTGCATTGCAGCAAATGATTGGTTGCGCAATCCGGTCATGCTGTGTTTCACAATTGTTAGTTATTACTCAGCAGTTATTATAATAATGTACAAAAAATAAATTTGTTGAATTGCTATGAAATGCAAATAAAATTCAACATAGTTTCATCGTAAGCGAATGATTCTGGTCGCATATAAACGCTTGATGCTGTAGGGTATCCGCCATGTCCTTTCTCTTGCACGAGTTGATCGAATGGGTCAAATCGCTAATTAACCAATCAAAATCCTGGATGATGCCACTGTGTTCAGATTACTATTATAAACAGCGTCCGGATAACTTTCGGAAATTCCGTCACGTTTCGGAAAGATTTAATTTTCACAACTTTTGAATATTTATTCATACTTTTAGGCTAGTGAAGAGGTTATAATAATTTTTCATTTCACTTTAACTCTGTTTTTTTCACCCCTCAGACCCCTTTGAAAAGTCACTTCTGGCCATTGTAATGGCCACTATCTTTTTAATGGCCAGAATACCAACCAGACATTTTTTAATGGTCAAAATATTGGCCAGTATTTTCAAACTGGTAGTTATAATGACCACTATTTTTACACTGGTCAGAATAATAGTAATTTTTTATTTAATGATGGAGTGGGTGACAATCTATTTTTT